GAGAACTGTAATTGTGTTGTATACCTACAGTGTACCAACAAAAGAATTTAATTAAAAAAAAAGAATGATTTCTAACATTAAAAGTCTATGTCAAATCCCTCCTCACATTCTTAAACTCAACAACAGGCTGAGCCTGACTAATACCCATTGTCACAGAGTCTTAAGCCCATAAAATTCATCATGTTAGTGGCCACAGACCGAGTCCTAGCACTAGCTAGATGTTAAGCAATCAGTCTGGCTACAATCCTCGCCATAAATTGAAGATAGATGTACCCATGACACTGGGCACAGTATGGTCACTAACAATTAGTACAGACTGAACTCCTCTGCTAAAAGTCAAAACACTACCCAGAGCCTACATCTTAGACTAACAACAATACATAAACACCCAGAACTCAAATCCTAGCAATAGCCTCATCGTAAAATCCTGATTATAATCTGAGCTTCTAAATTTGAACTCAAGCTGGAGTCTATGAGCTGTGTATACTTAGCCCAACTCTATCCATAGACTGAAATGTAACATCAGCAATCTGAAAAGCTTGTTGATGCTCTTAGCCCTAAAACCTTCTTCATAGTAAGCTGTACTCTGACCACTAGTAACCCTTAAAATAAGAAAAACTGTCATCGCATAGCATCACCTCCAGAACACAATAAATACGAAAGCTATACAAGGTCAAAGTGGGACTACTATCTCTAGACTCAACTCTGACACTGGCCAAACTGAAATACTACCATGGATCACACTGACTGAGCCCTAACTCTGGCCACAGAATGAAGATCAACACTGGCCACTATAACTTAGCTCCTTAGGCCATTCCTAATATCAGCTATGGCGAAAGACAAAACTTGACACTGACTAAACTCAGAAATCACAGCTTGAGTTTACTCAGCCAAATATGCATTTCTAATCTTGTTCACATTTATGGTCAAAATCCTCACCACAAACTATAATATTGTCCATAGAGGAAATGCTAACTTTGGTTTGAAACAAAGGTCTAGGGCATTGCTATGGTTTGGAAGTAATTTAAATGTCTCCCAAAGGTCCATATGTAAAGGCTTGATCCCCAAGATGGTACTGGGAGGTACTAAGGATCTTTAGGAAGTAGGGTTTTATGGGAGGTGCTTAAGTCATTAAGACCCTGCCCTCAAAAGGGACTGTGGGATCCTGCCCATCCTCTCTCTGTACTTCTCTGCTTGAGATATGGTCACTCACTCCAACAAGAACTCCTGCCATTGGTGTCCAGTACCCTCATTACAATCAAAAACCAATGGCACTGCCTGACTTGAACCTCCAAAGCTGTGAGCTAAATAAACCATTTCTCTTTATTAAGTTAGTTGTGTCAGGCATTGCATTGTAGTAACACAAACCTGACTAATACAGGCACATCACAGGTGTCTTAGTTATTTTCTCACTGCTGAGACACAATAACTAACACCCACAACTCAAAGGATAGGTTTATTTTGGCTCACAGTTTGTAGAGGTTTCAGTCTGAAGTCTTGGCTGCCTCTAAGGCAAGGCAGCTTGGCAGAGGGATATGGCAGAGAAGAAACAGCTTATGGCATTGCAGCAGGAATCAGAGCAGTGATCAAGGGGTGAAGGAGGAAGATAACCCCTTCTAGACCACTCCCCCAGTGACCCACCTTCAACCAGGCTTTACATTCTATCGTCACATTTAGCTAAAAATTCATCAATGGACTAATCTACTGATGAAGATCACACCCCTATGATCCAATCACTTCCCAAAACTCCTATCTATGAGTGCTTGAGGGTTTGGGGTGACAGCCACAAATATACCATAACAACAGGTAATGTCCTAACATGGCAACAGACTCAATATCAGACACAGACTATGCCTTACCATTGGCTACAGACTGAGACCTAATTACTGGAGCAAGAATAAACTCTAACTAGTAACACTAATTGAAATTTGACCTGATGGATGACTGAACATAAATCCTGTACACATACTTATAAAAACTCCCTAGGCAGAAACATAATCATGAACATTAACCCTAGGTTGGGGCCGGGGATTTAGCTCAGTGGTTTGGCCGCCTGCTGTGCAAGTGCAAGGACCCGAGTTCGATACCCGGTACCAAAAAAAAAAAAAAAAAACATTAACCCTAGGCTGAGCCATAATCCTGGCCTTTGCTGATTCCCAAATCTAGAAATAAAAGTGATTCCAACACTGACAAAAAACTAAGGTCAAACCTTGAGCTGAGCCCTAATCCCGTCTGTGGTCTAAGACAAGTCCTAAGCCTCTTCTTACATACAGACTAAATCCTAATAGTGGTTGAAATTTGAATCCAAATGTTGCACATTTATTTCACAATGAGGCATAATTCAGGCTACTCTGGACTTCTGGCAGGCTCAGTATGAGCTTTAACAATGATCATAGATGCACTCTGGTCCACATCATAGGCTAAAACATGACTGCAAATCTGGAGCCTTATATTGATATCAGACTGTCCTAAACTTGGTTTGAGAGGTACTAACCATGGATTTACTCTGGCCTATAAGACAGTTACAGACTGAATAGACCTTAACCTGAGCAAAGATTGAAGCCAAACATGTACCACATTATAAATCCCTGGCGATGACCTGGGCTCTACACAGGCTCTGGATGGAACTCAAAACTTGACCTATTAATTGGTTTCTAAATCCAGCCATAAGAATTTACCCTCAGCCACCATTTGACAAATTCATCTTATTATACAACAATGGATCAAAGAGTGTCACCTTTGTATGAATGCACACACACATATTCCGACAAGCCATCCAGAATTATTACTTCTTATTGCCTTGTATTTTAATTATTTCTCTTGCATGTTGATGGTTTCTACTAGAATATAACCTCTAAAGGGCAGGGTTGTTATTGCTGTGTGTGTTTCCCACTTCTCTATTATTAGCATCTAGAACCATGCCTGGCATATTATAGTTATAATAAATACTTGCTGAATGCATGAATGAATAGTTCCTTGTTACTCTCCTGTCTTTCTGTCACTTGGCCTCTCTGTGCTAGATTCCAAAAATTCCACTTTATATTGGTTCATCTGGCCTTTCTTCTCAGCTTCCTTTGAAAGCACATCTTTATCTGCTACTTGGATATTGTTATTTTCTAGGGTTCTACACGGAATCTTTGTCCTTTAAAAATTATTTTTTCTGGGACTATGTGTGTAGCTTAGTGGTAGAGTGCCTGCCTAGCATGTACAAGGTCCTGGGTTCAATCTTAGCATTGCGAAAATATTATTTTCTCAATACTCTCTAAGTGAAATTTAATCCATTTTCACTTAGTTGCCAACTATATACTGATGTCTCCCAAATATTTAGTTCCAACTAACAGCACTCCACTGAGCTTGCAGCCTACATTTTTCATCAGCCTACCAGGTATCTTCACCCAAATGTTTCACAAACTCCTCAAATTTTAAATGTCCCAAACTGATTTCTTCTTGTCCTTCGTAAAACTTGCTTTTCTTACGAGTTTCTCATCTCAGCAAATGGTATTATCATACACTCAATTTTCCAAGTCAGAACTTGAGAGTCATAATAGACTCTTCCCTTTCCCTCACTTCCCACACCTATGAACTCCATATGCTATTTATTTCCTTAAAATCTTTTGATGGTTTTCTACCACTTTCCAGTTTTAGCTTGAACTCACTGATATGGTATTCCTGACTAATCTAGTTTTTGCAATATGGAACTTTTTATTTGTTTGTTTCTTGTACATTATCATGCCCATATGCCTCTGTACACACTCTGCATAAAATATGGTTCACTTTCTTGCCCCAGATATGACAAATATCCTACTGGTTCTTCAAGTCTTTTCCTCAGTCATGGCTTCTTCCAGAAGTAGAATGAATTCCCCCTTACCCATGTTTCTGTAGAATCCTATGTAGACTTCTTCAGAGTACTTTTTTGCAATGTATACTCATTTACCTCCCTCCCTTGCAAAGGCTGCCAGCTAATTGCGGACAAGAACTATTTTCCAATTTTGTAACAATAGTACCTATCCCAGAGCCTTGCACAAAGCAGTTTGCTGAAGAAAAGATTGAATCTATTAAATCCTTTTCCTCCACTTCTTTAAATTTTTCAGCAATTATCTCAGCAAAATGGCACCTCTCTTTCCCTTCATTCCATTTGTGAGTCAAAACGTCGTCCTTACCAGGAAAGTTGTAGGAATTCAACTGTAATGATGATTCATTCACGGAAAGAATTTGTCTCTAACAGTGGGAGGGGGTCAAAATTTAGTAAAATTAGCTCTAATAACCATTTTCCTCAACCTTTAAATCACTTGAAGTGTCGAGTCTCCACTTATTTTTTTATCTACCTTTTAAAACATATTTTTATTTTTACTACAAGTCTTCTTCTGGGCTGGCCTATATCACATTTCTATGTCTAATTATGATATTGTTGCTAAGGGAAAATATGATTCCCAGTTATAAACAAAATATACATTTCCCCAGGCCTTTAAAGTGATTCTAATACACGTGGTTCATACAAAACAAACTTTGACTGTTTTAAAGGACCATGTCTCCTTTTCAGTTAAAATTCTAAGCTTACATATTGAAAAAAATCAAACCCAAAAAGGATGTTAAATCACAATATGAAATACTTTCCATAAAATGGGAATAACTTAAGAACATTAAAATAAATCTAGAGCCTTCGTTTGCCCGCAGAAGCACAATCTCACACTTTAAGAGAATGATTCTGCAACGCAGTGCACTTTAAACTACAATACCCAGCATACCCTCCTCATTCTGAACTCAGAAGACTATCGGAAGCGCAGGTGGGAATAGGAATTGTGGGTATATAGGGAAAAAAAAGTTTCTCGACTCCATCTCCCACAATCCACCGCTTTTACACTCGTATTTCTCCCATTATTACTATTGGATCTCACCGCCCAGGAAGAACATCCTCCAGCGACCGTAAACTACACTTCCCATGAAGACAAGGGATTGGGCCTCAGGCTTTCCTGGTCACCAGTAACCAATAGAAAGCGCTGAAGCAGCTACTGCTTCTGTAGGATTGCAGCCTGGGGCCCAAGTGCCGGGTCTAGGCCAACTAGCGCGAAGCGCGGAGTTGAGAAGACAGTTACATGGCATGGGATGCCGGGAGGGCACTCTGCGCCCAGGAGCTGCCGCGCCTGCCCGATTTTCCGCGGTTCTTTAAGGAGTAGCGCTTCAGTAGCCGGGGAGCTGGAGGTCAGAGAGGCAGAAGGCCTGAGTGGCTGTGGCTGGGGACTGTGGGACTGAGGGGGCCCAGGGAGGAAGGTGCTTCCGGGCCGCTGTGTTCAGCCCTAACTCCGCCCAGCTCCACCTCTGCAGAGGAGGGGGTGTCGGGACTGGGTGTCGGGGTGGGCTCCAGTTGCCTAGAGCCTCGGGAGCACAATCTTTCCCTTTCCCCTCTCTAATCTGCTGCCTTCTTTTTCTACCGCAACACTCCTCTTCTGCTTTGTTCCTCTTTAGGGGGTTGTAATTAGGGTTCGTGACAGGGGCTTCCCTGGTCGGCGCGTGGATATTCTTTACTGCTTGCAGGACTTGGGTGATCTCTTTCCTTCCTCCCAACGCACACAATTCCACTTATTTTCTCCTGGGGTCGTGGGAATTCCTTTTCAGGCCCCAGGCACGACTTGGTGTCAAATTTCTTTTTCCTGGACGGTGGGATACAAAGGGCCACCATCGCGTTCCTGGCCACTCCAGCCACTGCCCTTTTCCTGGCCAAGTCTTTGACATGGGAAAGGGTTTCTTCTCAATTTCCAGAAGAGATAAGGAGCTGAAGAGGGAAGAAATCTTGCTTTTGAGAAATATGTGTTTAAGTTTCAGTGCAGTGCTCTGGTGAGACTAATAGACTGGTTAGACCAGTTTTAAAGCTTGAACATTGTAGAGGGTTCCATCAAAGACTGATAGCATTAACGTTGATAAAAATTTAGGAGACACGCCAACTACCGAATAGTCCGTTGTGAAACAGACTTATTATTATTACAAACGTGCACAAAAAGTGCCAAAGGATTAGTGTAAGGGGGCATACTGATGGGAGTAGGGGGTTGATTTGTGGAAGTTCAGGCCTAACACAGGAAGCGCTGAAGGCTTGAAACTCATCTGTCTTTCTGGAATGATCCTGGCGGGCTTTGTGAAGGAATTGAATTTAAATTTGGGGTCCAAAGGAGAAAGGAGATTTGAAATGGGCAGAGGTAGGGAAAATCCTTCCTGACGATAGCATTGGGGTTTGAGAAGTGTGGATAGAAGAGGGAGGACTGGGTGACAGGTGGGCTGCCTGACTGAAGTAAGAGGTGTCAGGAGAGATATTTTGGGAAATAGTGTTGAAAAGCTTGGGAGCATAATGACATGATACTTTGAAAACTCCACATAGTTTGGATATTACTCTGTATCAAATAAAATTAAAGACAAAAAATTAAGATTGGGTGATTTTTCTTTTCGTCCTAGGGGGACCTGATTTGAGATCAGTTCTTGGAGAACACAAAGAAGTGTGGTGGTATGTTCCAGGTGTGAGTTTAATTTAAATCTAAGAAGAAGTTTGTCTTACAGACATTTTGTTTGTGGCTATTCTTAGCTACAATCTGTAGCTGTCAGTTTGAAAACCTAGTAATGTAAATTCATTTTCTTAAACACATTTGCTCTCCTTTCACAGATTACTTGAATTGTAATTATCTAACTGAGTGACAGTAATGACTATTATTTATTGAGCTGATATAATGTCCCAGCCGTCATCATAAGCACTTTGTTACATTATCTTAGAGTGTTATGATGTATGTACTATTATTCTCATTTTTTTTCTAGAAGAAGAAACTAAAATGCAGTGGATTTAAATACAGAAAGTCACATAGATTGTAAGGAGTTGAGTTGGGGCTGGAGTGTACACATATCTGATTCCAAAGCCCATGTTCTGTCCATCATACTTTGCCAGTCCTGGTGTTCATTTTTGCCCTTGACTTTCCAGTGTGTGGTAAGGAGAGATTATTGTGGGGAATAATTGATCATCTTGGCAGAAACACAAATGATTCACTTTGAATTTCTATGTCAGAATGTATCTGCTGTAAAGTAACTGCCAAAACCAAATTACCTTAACTGCTATTGCAACCATGGCTAATTGTCTGCCAAACCTATAGCCAGTATGGCTATTTCTGAATTAGATGATTCTCTTTGTAAAATATGTCATACCTCTAAGCTATTTGGACCTGGATGATACTTTGAATTTTATTTTAGCTTTTTTTTTTAAAGTGACTTGAGTCACTGTGTCCCCTTCATATCCTCTTCCCACGTGAAGGTTTGGAGATGCAACAGCATATGAGGTGTGAGATCTCCTTGGATCTAGTTGGGAAGATAGATGCCCACAATTTTGAGGTACCATAGTATATAGTATAACAGAGACAGGTACAAATTGCTGTGGAGACGTAGAGGAAAGAGGGACTAGCCAGAAAGAGTCAGGGTGAAGGGTTCTGTGAGGAGGTGATATGACACATCGGTCCTGAAGGATGATGACTTTGTCAGGTGGAGAAAGGTGTAGGAGAGCCATTCTAGACAGAGGGGTTAGTCTGAAAAACTTGTGACTACAAGATTAGGACATTTTTGTTCAGTATTGAGGAATTCATCATGGCTGGGGTGCATATTACGAACAGAAAGGTATAATAGTAGGAGAAGAGTATGGAAAGATACTTTGGGACTGATTTGTGAAGAATCAACTGCAATGCTAAGAAGTTTGTAGGCCAGGTGGCTCTGAAAATGTAGGGCTTCTACCAGGGGTGCAAAAGATAAAACTGAATTAGCACATCAAATCTAAGTTTACTTAGGATTTGATTTGGTAAAAATAGAAAATGAACTAGTCTTATATTGATTTAAACAAATATTTGTTAAATAACAGTGTGAATATGCTAAAAATCATCCAGTTTTATTCAGATAATTAAAAATTTGTAAATACTATTTATAGACAAAACAACCCATTAAAATGTTTTAATGAGTGTTGTAATCATATTTTCACATTTGGATGATGACAGTGGGAGAGAAACAGTGGACAGTGGAGAGAAACATGACCAGTATAGGTGGTGGATGCTCTTTTCCAGAGAGAGATAATAATGATAAGGACCTAAGAGTAGTGACATGACAGAAGGTAACAGATTTGAAATACCTTTAAAAGGTAGAATTAGTAGGACTTGGTAGATTATGATTGTATCAGTGTCAACAAATTTGTTTTAAAAGTTTGTATATAACACTTTCTTGTAATCTTTTATATTTTATCATGATCATAATATTGCCAAAACATACTATGCTTATATGTACATTAAGATAACAGAGAGGCTATTATTACTATTCAAGAGTGGGTTTGGAGGCTGAGATACAGCTCAGTGGTAGAACTCTTGCCTAGCATGTGTGAGGCCGTGGGTTCAATTCCTAGCTTGACACACTCACAAGAAAAAATGGATTTGGATTACATACAAAAATCCTGCCTGCCTTATTGAGTGTCCTTGTGTCCTTGTGAGGAGTGGCACATATATTCAAGGAACTAAGGAATATAGATATAATCTATGACCCTTAGCCACCTGAGGAAATCCGCTGTCTTTAAGACTTAGCTCATTTTTGGGAAGCCTTTTCAACACCCCCACTCCACACATGATTGCACAGATTGAGCAAGACTTCCATCGGACCCTACACTTATTTCTATTCCAGGCTTACCACACTGTAGTGTGTCAGTTTGTGGATGTTTCTGTCTCCTCTGCTAGACTGTAACCTCTTTAAGGGCAAGGACCTGGACTCATTCATCTCCATACACATAGCATCCAGGAATGGCATTTATGCGGCATCCAGAAACAGCACTTGGCATATGGTAGACACCTAATAAATAGTTATTGGTTGAGAAGAATGGATCAACAAATTCCCATGAATGTAACCATGGACCTTGGATCTTGCTACCACAGAGTGCCAAACACTGTGAAGATTAGCTCTTTGCTACATTTTCTACTTCTCCTAAAGAAAGCAGCAAATGAAAATGCCCATAATTTCACTAGAGTTACTTTTTCATTGTCATAATTTGCACTTGTTTGTTAAGCCTGCCCATTGCTTTGTCCCTCTTGACAGAGTTCACATTGCTTCTGCCCTGATACTTTGCCAGGAAACATCCCTCCTCTGACCTCACTGAGTCCAGTTGATTCTATCCTTGACATCATTCTTCAATCTATCTCCTTTTAGTCATAGACACTGCTAGTAGAACTATAATTTGACAACGGCACTTCTGGAGAGCATTTTGTCATTATGTATCAGAAATCTTAAGATTGAACATAGTTTTCAAGCTACCAGTTCAACTTCTAGGGTTCAGTGCTGAGGAAACAGTCATGATATTTCCAAAATTTTAGCTCCAAGAATGTCTATACCAGAATTATGATAATGGCAAAAAAATCCCCCCCCCCTAAATTTTCAGTGTCCAATATTAAGAGTTTGAAATGGAACCAATTATAAAATTTATAAACCAACTTATAAAATGTACCGCAATTGTACCCAAGAAAGTTGATGTTACTAAAGTATATTTAGTGATGAGGGAAGTTGTTTATGCTATATTAAGAAAATAATTGAGGCATAAAACCATCAGGGCAGAATGGCAGCTCTCAGTTTAAATACATCCACACATGTTACACCCCACACACATTTGTTTATACACATAGAAAAAACTTGTAAGGTTAAATATACACAAAATATTAATAGGGGTTTGCTATAAATGATAATATTGCATATGATTTCTATTTTTAACCTTTTGCATATTTTCACTGTCTAAACTTTTACAATGATGCACTCGTTAATTTTTTTAAAAAGTTGTTTAAAACTGTTTCTTTCATGTCTACACTATTACCATTGCCTTAGTCTGAGGCAAGTGTGCCACCTAATCTACATGTATCACTTGTAGCCTGGATTACTACTGCCTCCACTTTACCCCATTCCAGTCCATTTTCCACTGATGCTGACAAAGTAATTTTTGTAAACCACAGGTCTGAAGCTATCTAGTCTGTGTTATAGTTCAAAGACTCCCCATTGCGCTTAGGATAATATCCAAAGTTTTTTAGACTGCTTTATAATACATTTGAGAAATCATTTCTTGCTTTTCTCTATAGCGTGAGTTTTTCCTCTGACAGTTTACTTTTCCTTGGGTTTCTTAGGCCGGTGCCAGACACATAATAGTTGTTTAGTTAATGTTAATCAACTTACAGGTTCATTGTTGTGTGCCAGACACTCGTATTGCATGTGATCCTCAGAGCAAAAATATTAAATACATACAGTTATTCCTATTTTACATTTGAGGAAGATTAAATACATGGAAGTGAAAAGAAAAGTTATGATAAAGAATATTATCAAAGAAAAAGTCAAAACCTCCCGCTGCAACTCTGCTCTCTTCGTTTTCTTGCAGTCTCTATTGGTCTTTGTCAGTATGAATGCAGAATTTGAACATCCCTTTAGGCAAGTCATATGTGACCGTAGCATAACAAAAACAGCCCCAGACTGACATAATTTTACTGTGTCGTGGTTCACATTGTACTGATGTACAGAGATCTTTCATTTGTGCATGTAACACTTCATGCAAGAGAGGGGGAATATTTCCAATTGTTCTGTTTTTCTTGATGTTTTCAAATTCTGTGTCTTTTGGGATGGGGATGTCAGCAGATAGCTACAGAAAAATGGGATAGAATCCAATGTGCAAGAAACAGTGTGTCTCATGGGCTCTGATGTCATTGGTTAATTTATTTTTTTAAATGTGATGTAGTTGTATTTTTCAGCAATTTGTCCCTAGGGAAGATCTTGGTTGAATTCCATAGTTAATCCTATTTACAGAATAGAGCCCATGCATGGACTACATTCTTGTGCTGTTAAGTGATGTTAGACAAATGTAGTGGATTACCATAATGACATACAAGTGAATGTGGGATGTCAGATATTTTCCAAAAAAGTATCAGTGGTCATATTGTTACTTTGTATCTTGCAGTGTGATCTTCCTTCCATTTTCCCTACAAGCAATACTCTTTGTGCAAAAAGCAGTCCTAAGTATGAGTTAGCTGAATAAAATATCTACTTTGTAAGGAAGTGTCCTTTTCAAGTAATCCAAAAGGATTTGTAATTCTGCTCCATGAGCAAATAAGTTGAACATAGAAATTACAGTAAGCATTTCAGATCATTCAATGAATTATTGTAGGTTTACTATGTGAAAGCACTGTGCTAGACTTTGTGCTAGATATTTATAAATGCTCCTTTTAATGCCTTCTAGACAGAAAGCAGAGGATGCACACACGAGGGAATGAGCATTTAAGAACAAATGAAAGAGAGAAGATTTGAACAAGTAGGCCCCTTGTATAAATGAAAATTTACTCAGCTGAAAATTAGGCTGTGTACCAGTAGGAAGTGATGCTTTCCCCTACCCTCAATTCTGGTCTCTTTCCTGTGTGAACTATCTAGGCAAAAAACGAGCTACCAGATAGTTGATAAGCAAATGATCTACTTCTCTGTTTACA